GTTTTAAAGTGAACCACTCCCCAGTATGAAAGTTTAATCTTCTCCTGGGACCGAGGTTTTTTAAGTCACCCAACTCTGGAATCAATTCAGTGAAACTTCTGCTGTCAGTGACTGAACCCTGCCATCAATGGTTTTAGAGTTCAAACCTCAAAAAAAGGGAACGGCTCCAAGAGTTCTCCCCACTAAGAGCATAGGCCCTTGTCTTTCCCTACTGTCTTATCTCCTCTTCCACCCTCTTCCTCTTCCCCAACACCTCAGCCAGTGGCTTGGATGAACAAACTGATATTTATAATTTTGTTACTGGAAAAGAAAGGTCTTCTAATTTTAGGAATTAGCACCTCTGAGACAGAATGATCTGCTTGTCCTGTATACTCTCCAACAAAAGACCTTCCCTCCTCAGTCAATTTCCATTTCCAAAATGGCAACTTTGGTAACTTATTAACTGTCTTAGTCCTTTGTGGGGAACAGCAGTAAGTTTAGGCAGGGAACACCTTGGCTTATAGTTTCAGACATTCACAGCTTTTAAACAGTCTCTCACAGCCCTTATTTATGGTGCCAATGACATTTTTTTGAAAAGTAAAGTATTCTGGACATAGAAGCATATCATTAGTTGTCTGTTCTTTCCATTGTTTCACCATTTCCCCTTTCAGGCCCCCAAATTTAATCAAAATTATGCTACCCATCTCCCTTTCTCCCCTCCCCATCCCTCCCTCCCCCAAATAATACACCAGTAATAGCCAAAAACTACACACATGCTATGCTGAGTTAACACTATTGGGAAGAAGGCTGTGGGTTGTGGAGATGATCTTTGAAGATCTACAGTATTTTTTTGCTCTCCCACACACCCAATTCTGCAAGTTTTGTCCTTCATAGAAGGCCCTTTGCTTTTCTCAGCAAAGTGAGGAAAAGGTTGCCTTGAAACACTTATCCCCCTTCCCCTCCACTGGGATGGGTATGCAAACTATACAGCTTAGAACAGCTTTAAAGCAGTTGGGCTGCTGCAGGGCACAGAAACTATACTGGCTCTTCAAAGGACATCTTCTCAAGCCACCTCTGTGGTGTCAAGACAAGTAGAACTCCTTCCCTTCCCACTTGAAACCCACAGTCAGATGTGACAGGGGCTGGTACTCAGGAGAGTTAATTCTTGTCATTTTTTTGGTCATCATCCTCCGAGGGGTAGGAATGCCATGTCAGCCTTTCCTCATAGAAGGATATGAAAACCTGTGGGCACTTGACATTGGCTTCCTTGGCAGAGACCAGGTCAACCTCATCAGAGGTTTTCCATTTCATTAGGAACATGAGCTCTCCACTGGAGTCTAGCTCCAATAATCCACTCTGGCTCCAAACCTGGAGCAAAGCCTCGTGGCTTTTCTGACTCTTCTTTCTTCTTCTTTGGTTTGCTGTCTTCTCCCTTATCTTCAGAATCAGAATCAGCTTTGCGCTTGCCTCCCTCCAATTTATCTGTCTCATGTGCTGTTTTCTGTGACTGCAGAAACTCGGCAATAAGGTCAGGGCAATCCAGATTCTCTTCTGGCTCCCATGTGTTGTCCTCATCTGAGAACCTCTTCCACTTTAGGAGGTACTCCACTTTGCCCTTTACCATTCGATGGTCGAGCACTTTTTCCACCACATATTCCTCTTCCTTCTCTTCTAGCACCTCTTCCACTTTCTTCTTGTTTTGTTTTCTCCCCATTGTGCCCGCCAGCTTTCTGGTATAAAGAGTGACACTGCTCAGAGCAGCACCCAACAGCTGGAGAGGAATCGGTGCTGCGCTACTGGCGCGTCGTATCGGGTCGGCCGGGGAGTGGTGCCCAGGAAGGCAGCAAGCCTGGTGGCCGCAGTGGAGCACCTCACTGGAGCAGCGTACTGCAGGCCCACACATTTTTCTCTTATAGTGTAACTAGTTGTATTTATTTCTACTAGCTGAGGGATGATTTATTTAATTATTTAATTCATTAATGGAGATCCTGCTGTGTGAGGTGCTATACTTTGTTCTGGGGATATTATCATGAGCAAGATAGCTGTGTTCCAGCTGATTAGAGTAGTAGTCTCAAACATGTTTTTACGTTTCACACCTCTGTCCAGAAACATTTCTGAGCATGCATGCAAAAATGAATATTTATTTATAAGTGACATACATGTCTCTCCACTAGCATATTGTATAGATTTTACAATAAATTCAGAAATTGAAATTTAAGAGACAAAACAGAAATAAAAAATCTAATATTCTCTTTCCCTTTGGATGTGTTCACCCCCTTTGGAGAATTCACTGGCTTAAGATATCAAGGGAGAGACACAATCAGAGAAACAAAGAGGAGAGTATCTGAAGGAGAAGTTCTCTGTGTTAGGAGCCCAACTTCTGGAGGGCCAGAAAAGGCTTACTTAAAGAATCAAGATTTGAGATAGGATCTGAAAGGCAAAGTTTGGTGTTTCCAAAGCAAGAGAGTATAGTGTTTGTAACTAAAAGCATGATGTGTTCAAGAAACTAAGAGAATGCCAGTGTTGTTGAGGAGGCAGTGTCACAAGAGACGAAGTAACGATCACATCACCAACTTTGTAGTTCTAGTTGAGTGACTTTTTTCCCTATTATTGCTAAAAAGAGGTCTGAAATAGTACAGCTTAACAAAGAACTTAAAGAAGTCTTGTATAGCAAATTACTGCTTAACACACTAAAAGCAATCTTACAATGACCATACTGTGATATTTTGCAACAGTAAAAAAAAATAGTGTGTTTTGAAAAGGAAAAGTAAAGGAGGGGAAAATAAATTGAAAATGTGTCCCTGATTTTCAGGCAGTCTGAAGGATAACACCCAGGAAACAAATCAATACCCCCTACATTTACACTATATTCTCTCTTCAGCTTATAATGTTTAGTACTTATTTGGAAACATTTTACTCAGGGGATTTTTAACTGTATAATCAATGAAAGATCTAGACCATAATTCTAGTAATTATAAAAGCAATAGTAATAAAAGTAACAACAATAGCTTACATGGCTCACTTCTTAGCACCTTATATGTGTTATGTAATTTAATCCTCATAGTGACTATCTGAAGTAAATGCTATTGATATCCCATTTTAATGAACAAGAAACTCGTAGATGATAGAACCAGTCTGACTGGAAGCCACCCTCTTATGTACTATTCTTTGCTTCTTCTCAAGAACTACTCCATAAGATAGTGAAGAATGGTATACAATTGGAGCCAGACTAACTGGCTTATGGCAAAGACTTAAGGGCTTGTCCTTTTGGATTAAAAAAAAAATCAAAGTTTAACTTTTTTAAACTGAGAAGCAGGGAGTTAATATTAAATGGCATATTTTCCTGGCTACAGAGTTAAATCATTTTGTATATATATATATGTTTTTTGTACATATATTTTGTAATAAATTTTTATATATACGTATATACATATATATATACATACATACATATATATATATATACACATACATATATATATATATAATATGGTATCTGTTACACGTAAGATGTATAGTATCTGAGAAGGGTGTGTATGTGTAGTATCTGAGAATGATACAGAAACCTGTAAAAAATATATTTTCTACCTTCTGGAACCTATACCTGTTCAAGTGATTATTAAGTCAAGGTGATAAAATAGCAAATGAATACAAGAGTGAAAAGGGCTATAGAAATTCAAAATTAGAAAAGATTATTATCAGTCATCAGTACCAAAAAGAACATGTACATTTGTACTTTATCATGAAAAGGATGACTTCAGTTCAACTAAGTTGTAGAAGAGAGTGGGAATGGTATAATCCATTAAGAGGTAACTGCATGAGCAAATACATTTGCACTATATCATAAAGAATGACTTCAGTTCAACTAAGTTGTAGAAGAGAGTGGGAACGGTATAATCCATTAAGAGGTAACTGCGTGAGCAAATGCACCAGGGCAGAAATGTGGAAGATAGTCTGAAACAATGAGTCTGAAACAATGAGCAGACTGATTTAAGAAGAAAAAACTAAATACTGGAATGTAATGGGATATGTAATTGAGAATTATGGTTATAGAGGGCACTGATTGCTTAACTAAGGAGTTTCAGATTTATCCCAATAAATGGGAGAGGTGTTGAAAGCTTTTGGAGCAGAAAAGTGACAAAACAAAAATGCTCTTAGAAAATAACATGTAGGAAGAAGTGAAGAAGAGAAATTTCCATTTTAGAGGTCTTCATTAGGAAATAGTTGGAATAATCAGGACATGATGTAATAAAAAGTGGAATTGAGATGCCATCTTGATATTGAGCTGAAGGAATATGTTTTAAATATATTTTAAAGGTAGAATTGCTAGAACAGTATGTCTAATTAATCAGTTATTAATATTTATATTGCCAAGAATAAGGAAGGCTTTGTTCCTTGTTTTTGATAACTCAGAGTTAATTTTTTTCATCCTCTTGATTTTTACATTACAGCTAAATTGCAACCAAAGTTGTGAGATGTGGTAGTCTAGCATTGTATTGTTTAAATTCAAAACCATCTCATGATACTTGGTTTAATTTATTTTGAGAATTTGGAAGGCATAAATGAGATCAAGTCAGATCCAACTCATTATTTGGGGCTTGTACAGTGGCTGGTATTGAAGAAGTTCTCTTTGCATTACTGTTGAATTATTGCCTCTAGTAACAGATGTTGTCATGAGATGCAGGCTGTAATACTGAGCCAGTAAACCTCAAATGTGATTCATAGCACAATGGAAACTTTTGAAAGACCAATAGTTTCTTTTAAAAATGATACTTTCTAATACTGTGTTTAAAATTTCTTTCTCAGAGCTGCTGTATGTTATAAGAATTGTCAGAAGGAGATCCTGAATACTTTGTGACATGTAACTTTAAAATGTTCTCAAAAGTATTACTATGTTTTGATCACATTTGGATCTTGTGCCATATTCACAGAAAATATTTTAAAATATTTCATGATTGAATTTAAAACCATCTAAAATTTACATTGGAAAAACTAAAAATTTATTCACTTTTGTTTTACAGTGATCAGCATGTTGGTAAAATTTATTCCAAATGTTCTTCATTTCTGGATTATGTCAGAAGGTCTCTAAAGAAGCTTGGATTAGATGAGTCCAAGGTTAGTATATGATGACTCATAATTTTCATATAAGATGGAAGAACTTCTCTTTAGTAATGAATTGAGAGAATACAAAATAACTTCTCATCTACTTTTCTCTCATTTGTGAAAACATCCAAATTATATTGAAACCAGACCTGCATTATCTTTTTTCCAGTTTATCCTTCCTGTCATTGTAGAAAGTTTACTGTCATGTATCTTCACAGTTTCCCTCTTTTAGAGTTAAAAATGTGCCAGTTCACAAATCAAAATGAGTTAAAAATCAACACAGCAGTACAAATGAGAAATAGAAGTAAAGCAAGAGAGAAAGGTTTTAATTTTGAAATGCATTTATTTACAGCTTATATAACTAATTGAAATTTAAAATCTTAAATTCAAAAGCCTTCAAATAGGAGAATCTTGAAAAGTTATAATATCATAGGAGGCCCACCCAAGTTAATAATTGATAACATATTATTGAAAGCAGAAAGGTAAGCTTGTTGACTGATGTTAATAAATATTCTACCACTGAGGAAAAAAAAGACAGCTTTCAACATTATTTAGATGAGCTATTAATACTAAAGTATTAAATGAACTTGGATTACTCAGGTATTTTGAATTGATTATAAATTGAAACAAAGAATAGAATAGGTAGTTAAAGGAATGAAATGGACTTCTTGAAAATGTTAAAAGGACATGATAATGTTATATCAAAGCTAAAGGGTATTATTGTTATTTATTATATCAGTTATTCATTTAGTCCCCAGTTGCTTTATTACTTAAAGCAATTGAACTGGGACTAGTCAGTTTCCTCCTCTTTAAAGCTATAAGAAAGCCATAGGATTTAGGAAGGATTAAATTAGGTAAGAGACATAAAGCTTTTAACACAGTGTATATAGTAAATGCTAACTATATGATATTCCTTTTAATTATTATAATCCCTTTATATGTACTACAAGTAATAACATAATTGACATGACGCTTATAAATATTTTTATTTAGTCACTAATGAAGACTTCGCTAATTTTGTCATAAAGGAGAATAGACATGGACATGGTTACACTAATTAGTTTATTTCTAGGTTCTTTTAAAAAAATGTTTTTCATTTATCTGACTGATTTTCTTTACAATTAGTCTTACCTAATGCAAGCCTTTAGTGCATATCTCATTTTATGTCTTGTATTTAATATCAAGAACACTAACCTAAGCATTATTGTCACAAATTAAGAGCTACAGTTTTACTTAAACTTAATACATTTAAAACTTTGTTATCGTTCCTTCTGGCTTCATTTTCCCAGTTTAATAACCACAGCAAACGTTTCTTAACATATTTATTAGTATATAATTAATAAGATATTAATAAGAGTTAATATTTACTGAACACTTACTCTGTGGTAGATATTATGCTATGGACATTACAAACATTACTTTATTTACTTTTCACAAAAACATTTATAGTGGATAGCTTCCAGTCCAGCATATAAAAGCTTGAAAATTGCTGCTCTGTCTTAGGAAGACTTAAAAGCTAAAGAAAAAAAAAAAAAAAACAGAAAAGCCTACAACTCTTTAGAGAAGTGAGGTCACAGGGCAAACTGCTGCCTCCCACACTGGAAAGACAGGCAAATGCAGAGATTTACAACTTACAGGAGCAGAAACCTCCACAGAAACCTGTGCCAGGTAGGAAAAAACCTGAACTGTAATTGACAAATTATTGGAGGCTCAGTGTGGACAACTTTGGGAATTAAAAAATACAGAGGGAACCACTCATAAGGGACCACCCACACCTCTGTGAGTTTTACCTTAATGAGCTTAACCTGGTTTTAGAGAATACTAGAGAAAAAAAATCTCCTCCTGCTTCCATCAACGGGAGAAGAAAAATAACCATTTTGAAATATACCAGAGCATTCTACTCTTCTGAATAGTTTCTCAGAAGAAACTATTTAATCAGAGCTTAACCTGCTGGTGTTTTATTAGAGCCTAACTCACCTGAAGGAAAGAAAATACCTAGCTCCAGCCAACTCTAACTTTCTATGGGGGAGAAGAAAATATCCAACTCCAGCCTGCTCTAGCCATCCTGTGCCACCCAGGAAAGGGTAAAAATACTGAGAAGCACTCATAAAGTTTATAGTACAGAAACACAAGCTCACTAAAAGACTGAGACATAATTATAGGACTCAAACCATTGTAAATCATTATCCCTCACCTCACACCTTACCATCAGATCACTAAAGGCTTACTTACCGCAGTTACTTTTAACAAGTATTTTGTATCTGGCCATTGAGAAAAAATTGCAAGGCATACTAGAAGGCAAAAAACACAGATTGAAGAGACAGAGCAAGCATCAGAACCAAATTCAGATGTGGCAAAGATGTTAGAATTATACCAGAAATTTAAAACAATAATGAGTAAAATACTACATGTTCTAATGGACAGGGTATATAGCCTGCAAGAACATACTGAAAATGTAAGGAAAGAGATGGAAGTTTAAACAAAAAAACTAAAAGGAAATGCTAGAGATCAAAAATACTGTGGACAATCATGGTGTCTCACACCTGTAATCCCAACACTTTGGATGGTCAAGATGGGAGTAATACTTGAGTCCAGGTGTTTGAGACTAGCCTGAGCAACATGGTAAGATCCCATCTCAGCAAAGAATTCAGAAATTACCTGGTGTGGTGGCATGCACCTCTATTCCCAGCTACTTGGGCAGCTGAGGCAGGTGGATTGCATGAGCCCAGGAGTTTGAGGCTGCAGTGAGCTATGATTGTGCCACTGCACTTCAGCCTGGATGACAGAGCAAGACTCTGCCTCCAAGAAAAGAAAAACAAAGAAAAATAATACTGTTATAGAAATGAAGAATGCTTTTGATGGGCTTATTATTAGTCTGGACACAGCTGAGGAAAGAAATCTCTGAACTTGAGGATCTATCAATAGAAAACTTGAAAACTAAAAAGCAAAAAGCCTGTATGTTTCAAACTTAGGAACATCAGTTACATGCAAAATGAAATCATACCTAAAAGTAATAACATACTGAGTCACCTTTGCTCTGTTTATTCCAGAAGATCACAGTGATACTAATCTTTGGATAACTTCCTCTATCAACCTGAGAATATCAGGAAACACTTCAGCCTCCTTGCCACTGACTTTGTCTTCCCTGACTTCTTTGACAGGATCTGCTGATGCGTTCACCTTCACATACACTTACTTTAGTTCTTAAGCCAGTTATGTCCTAACCAAGAACCTTCAGTCCCACCATCAAGTGGTGAGAACTATCTCAGTTGCTAACCCGTCTTCTTATCACATATGATGTGGGGAGGGTCTCTGAACAACTGTATCTGTCATCTACTCATTTAACCCATACTCCATAAAATTATAGTATGTGGTCTACCTTTGCTTATCTACACCCCCCTTATATCGATTTATTTTTTTAAAATTGAATAAACAAACACATGGAGGAGAAGAGACAAATGTCCCATGGAAAAGAGCTCCAAATAATTTATATAATATATTTCCCCCTCGAGGAGTTAGAGCAAAACTCCCCATTCTTTAAGTGTGGCCTGTACATAATGACTTTTTTTCCGAAGAGCATAAGTATGTGAAGCAGGAAAAATGATGAACTTTCCAGTGAAGAATCTGACAAACAGAATCTGAGCCAGGTAATCAAGATCAATGTGAACAGTGATAATTCATGTTGATAGTATGTACTCTTGTTATAAGGTAAGAAATATGGTGCTTTATTCCTATAGTATTTCTTTCAAAAACCTATCTCTAGTCTGTATATGAGAAAAATATCCCACTGGAGAAACATTCTACAAAATACATTCTACAGAAAACATTCTACAAAGTACTGGTCAGCCAGTACTTCTCAAAACTGTCAAGGTCTGCAAAAACAAGGCAAGTCTGCAAAATCATCAAAGCCAAGAGGACTAATTGCAATGTGGTTTTCTGGATGGGATTCTAGACCTGGAAAAGGACATTACATAAAAACTAAGGAAATTTGAATATAATGTGGACTTTTGTTCATACTAATGTATTAATATTGGTTTACTAATTATAACAAACATACCATATTGTAAAATGTTAAGAGAAGAAAAGAGTATAGAGTATATGGAAATTCTGTCCTATTCTCAAAATTTCTGTAAATTAAAACTGTTATAAAATGTATTTATTTTTTAGGAACATCATGAGGTAACTAATGTTTACCAAACCTTTGCTTTATGCCAGGCACTATGCTAAAAGTTTATATTATCTTTTATATTTGTTTATATTATCTTACTGAATACTAAGGATGGCCTTATGAAATAAGTGACATTATTATTGTTTTATAGATGAAGAAATTGAGACAGAAGTTAAGTGGATTTCTTTAGGCCAAAATCTAGGAAATTTGGAGGAAGGATTTCAATCCAGATTCCTAACTCTAGAACTCATGCTTCTGTTTGTCATACTTACATAACTTACTAACAGACTTGAGTACAAGAATGCTTGTTTGGCGTTTTTCCAAAACTAGCAATCGTCAGGCAAGCAAACCTATGAGAAAAAATAAAGAAAAAATTTATGCTTGTCACAGACAAAATAAATGTACTTCTAAAACAGATTAAGGAATTAAAGTTTGAAATAAAGGCAGAAAAAAAAAGCAAGGAATGATGAATCTTACTGAAGAGTTAAAGAAGACATGCTTGTATCCAGGACTTTAACTCATGAAAGTCTGGCTGATTGGATGAAACTAGTCAAATATATGAAACATTTTGGGTACTAAGACATATACTGTCTAATGCACAGAATAATATCAGAGTTAAAATCACTATCACCAAACTACAAGGAAAGTGGGAAGAAAAAAAAAACCTCAAGCACCTGAACATGATTTCTTATATATTGTCCCCCACTCCAGTTTCTCTTCAGGACTGGGTATCTTCCTGTAGGTGACTCAGAGCCCACTAAGTAGCCCCTGCGAGGGCCCCACTGCACATCTTAACTCATGCTAGTTCCTTTTTCTAGAGACTAGGAGTTAAGCAGTACAGGGCAATGGCATTCATTACCAGTACTTTCAGCTGCCATTCAGTGTGTACTCTCAATTTACAAGTTTGCATGTCTGTTCTTGCCTAAGGATGACCTATGCCAGGCAGTGCTTCCATTCCAGTGCCTTCCTTTTATCTTCAGGAAGTTGAAGAGGCTCACGCTGGCTTTAATACTCAGTAATGATGTCTATATATGAGACCATGAATATGTATTCATGACCATGGATATACAGTGCTATAGACTGCTAGAACTTAAACCTCTTATCTAGTTATAATTTTGTATTCTTTAACTAATGTCTCTGTATACCCCACTTCACCCTACCCTTCCAGGTTTCTGCAATCCTCTATACTACATTTTATTTCTATGAGATTAACGTTTTCTCCAGCTTCTACATATGAGAGAGAACTTACCATGTTTAACTTTCTGATCCTGGCTTATTTCACTTAACATAATGAATATACATGTCTATAACATGAGACCATGAATATACTTCTAACATCTATATTTAAGGTGTGTATATACTGAGAGATACTCTCTTCATTTTAAAATTTTCTTATAATCTCTGTGATCTAATGAGACTTTTTTTTTTTTTGAGTCAGAGTCTTACTCTGTTGCCCAGGCTGGAGTGCAGTGGCACAATCTCACTGCAACCTCCGCCTCCTGGGTTCAAATAATTCTCCTGCCTCAGCCTCCCAAGTAGCTGGGACTACAGGTGCACACCACCACATTCAGCTAATTTTTTTGTATTTTTAGTAGAGATGGGGTTTCACCATGCTAGCCAGGATGGTCTCAATCTCCTGACCTCATAATCCACCCACCTTGGCCTCCCAAAGTGCTGGGATTTAAGTTTAATTTAAAAAGTTGATTAAAGCATGAAGTCAAATCTTTAAGCCCTGAAGTTTTCACTTAAAAACATATAAATACAGTCATTCCTTGCTATCCTCAAAGGATTGGTTCCAGGACTCCCATGGATATCCAAATCCATGGATGCTCAAGTCCCTAGTGTCATAGTATTTGCATAGAACCTATGCATATCCTCCTGTATACTTTAGACAATATCTAGACTGCAAATAATACCTAATACAGTGTAAATGCAATGTAAGTAGTTGTTATACTGTATTGTTTTTTATTGTTTTCTTTTTTTAATATATATTTTGTCTTTTATGTTTTTTAAATGGACACATTATTGTATATATTTATGATGTACATAGTGAGGTTGTAATATATTATGTGTATAGTGATTAGACTAGGATGATTAGCATGTCCATCATCTCAAACATTTATTATTCCTTTGTGTTGTGGGCATTCAGGGTCCTCCTTCCAGCTATTTGAAACTATATAGTATATTATTGTGAACTATATTCATCCTACAGTATATAGACCACTAGAACTTAATCCTCTCATCTAGCTATAATTTTGTATTCTTTAACAAATCGCTCTCATAATGCACTTCCCCCTACCCTTTCAAGCCTTCGGAGTCCTCTGTACTACATTCTACTTTTTTTTTTTTTTTTTGGTTTCTTGCATCTGAGTGAGAACATACTACATTCTACTTTTTTTTTTTTTTCCAGTTTCTGCATCTGAGTGAGAACATACTATGTTTTTAATGTTCTGATCCTGGCTTATTTCACTTAACATAATGTTCTGCAGTTCTACACATGTTGCCAGGAATGAAAGATTTCATTATTTTTTATGGCCGAATCATATTTGTTTATACATACCACATTTTCTTTGTCCCTGTTAATCTGTTGATGAACACCTAGGTTGATTCAATATCTTGGCTATTATAAATTGTGCTAAACATAGGGATACCAGAGTTTACTATATCAAATCAATGTCTTTGATATATTGATTTCTTTTCCTTTGGGCAAATGCCAGGCAGTGGGATTGCTAGATCTTATGATAGTTCTATTTATAGTTCTTTCAGGAACCTCTAGCCTCTTCTCCATAGTGACTATACTAGTTTACATTCTCACCAAAAGTGTATAGGAGTTCCTTTTTTCTGCATCTTTGCCAACATTTTTTATTTTTTATCTTTTTTATTAGAGCCATTCTAATTGGGTGAGATGATACGTCGTTGTGGTTTTGATTTGCATTTCCCTGATTATTTGTGATGTTGAGCATTTTTTTCTATGCTTTATGGCCATTTGTATGTGTTCTTTTGAGAAATGTCAGTTCAGATTATTTGTCCGTTTTTTTCCTTAGATTTTGGGTTTGCTGTTGTTGTTGTTGTTTTGCTGTTGAAATATTTGAGTTCCTTGTATATTCTGGATATTAATTACCAGTTGGATGAAAAGTTTGGAAAGTTTTTCCCCTAGTCTGTAGGTTGAATTCACTCTGATGATTGTTTTCTTTGCTTTGCAAAAGCTTTTTTTAGGTTGATATAATCCTCTTTTCCTATTTTCTGCTTTACTTGCCTGTGCTTTTGAGGTCTTACTCAAAAATATTTTTCCAGAGCAATATCCTAAAGCATTTCTCCTAGTAGTTTTGTTGTTTGGGGTCTTATATTTAGGTCATGGATCCATTTTGAGTTGATTTTTGTATAGGATGAGAAGTGAGGTGTCTAGTTTAATTCCTCAGCATGTAGATATCTAGTTTTCCCAGACATTTATGGAAGTGACTGTTCTTTCTCCAATGTAGATTTTTGACATCTTTGTCAAACATTAGTTGACTGAAGACATGTGAATTTATTTCTGGGATCTCTATTCTATTGCATTTGTCTATGTTTCTGTTTTCATGCCAGTGTCATGTTGTTTTGATTATAACAGCTTTGTAAAATATTTTGAAGTCTAGTAATGTGATGCTTCCAGCTTTGTTCTTTTTGTTCAAGACAACTGTGGCTATTCTGGATCTTTCATAACTCCATACAAATTTTTTTTCTATGTAGAATGTCATTGGTATTTTGATAGGGATTGCATTGAACCTGTACATTGCTTTGGGTAGTATGGTCATTTTAACATTATTAATTCTTTGGATCCATGAGCATGGAATGTTTTTCCATTTTTTTCTATCCTCTTCAGTTTCTTCAGTGTTTTATTGTCTTCCTTGTAGAGGTCTTTTACCTCCTTGGTTAAATTTATTCATATATATTTTATTTCCTTTATAGCGATTGTGAGTGGAATTGACTTCTTGATATTTTTTATTGCATTTTAGGTTTTGGGGTACATGTGAAGAACATGCAAGATAGTTGCATAGGTACACATGTGGCAGTGTAATTTGCTGCCTTCCTCCCTTTCACCTATATCTGGCATTTCTCCCCCTGCTATTTTAATCTAGTTAATTATGTATAGAAATTCAACAATTTTTACATGTTGACTTTGTGTTCTGCAAGTCTACTAAATTATTCTACAAATTTTCTAGGTAGAACCTTTAGGTTTTTCTATCTATAATAAGATCATGTCATCTGCAAACAGGGATAATTTTACTTTCTCCTTTCCAATTTGGATTTCCTCTATTTCTTTCTTTTGCCTAGTTGTCCCGATTAGAACTTCCAATACTATATTGCATGAGAGTGGTAAGACTGGGCATTTTTTACCTGTTAAAGTTCGTAGAGGAAAAGATTTCAGTTTTTTCCCCTTTCAGTATGATGTTAGCTGTGGAATTGTCATATGTGGCCTTTATTATGTTGAAGTATATTTCTCCTATGTCCAGGTTTTTTTAAGTTTTTATCATGAAGGGATATTGAATTTTATTCAATGTTTTTTTCTACATCTATTGAAATAACAACATAGTTTTTGTCCTTCATTCTATTGATGTGCTGTGTCGCATTTATTTGTGTATGTTGAACCAGCCATGCATTTCTGAGATATATCTTACTTGATCATAGTGTTATTATCTTTTTAATATTCTGTTGGATTCAGTTTGCTAGTATTTTGTTGATAATTTTTGTGTTTAATGTTTGTTAGAGGTATTGTCCTGTAGTTTTATGTTTTTGTTGTTGTGTCCTTATCTGGTTTTGGTATCAGCGTTATGCTGGCTTCATATAATGAGTTAGTAAGAATTCCCTACACTTTAATTATTTGCAATAGTTTCAATGGTATTCATTCTTTTTTAGTTTTAGTAGAATTCATCTGTGAAGCCATCCAGTCCTGGAATTTTCTTTGTTTGGAAGACTTTTATTAATCACTGATTCAAACTTACTACTTGTTATTGGTCTATTCAGGTTTTCTGGTTCTTCCTGGTTCAATGCTGGTAGGTTATATGTGTCTAGGAACTTACCTATTTGCACTGCCTTTTCTAATTTTTTGGTGCATAGCTGTTCATAGTAGTTTCTAATGATTCTTTGTTTTTGTGGTATTTGTTGTGACATCCCTGTTTTTGTTTTGTAGTTTTTAATTTTGGTTCTTACTGCCTTTTTTTTTTTTTAGTTTGTCTCACTAATTGTTTGCAGATTTTGTTTATCTTTTCAAAACAGCAATTTTTTGTTTTATTCTCTTTGTAATTCTCAATTGCATTTATTTCTGCTCTGATCTTAATTTTTTTCCTTCTGCTAATTTTGAATTTGGCATGTTCTTGCTTTTCTAATTACTTGACATGTATCATTAGGTTCTTTATTTGAAATCTTACTAGAGTTTTTATATACTTACTTATTGCTATAAACTTACCCCTTAGTACTGCTTTAGTTTTGTTCAACAGGTTTTAGCATGTTATGTTTCTGTTTTCCATTGTATTAAGGAATTTTTTAACTCCAATCTTAGTTTTGTTGGTTTTTCCCACCCATTGGTCATTCAGGAGCATGTTTTCTAACTTCCATAGGTATTTTTCATAGGTGTGAATTTTCCTCTTATTGATGTTTAGTTGTATTCCATTGTGGCCAGATAAGATACTTGGTATGATTTTGATTTTTAAAATTTTTTGAGACTTTTTTGTGTCCTAACATATGGTTGATCCTGGAGAATATTCTATGTGCTGATGAAAAGAATGTGTATTCTGCAGCTGCTGGGTGAAATATTCTATAAGTGTCTGTTCTATTAGCTTCACCTAATATGCAGTTTAAATCTAATGGGTTTTTTTGTTGTTGTTGATCTTCTGTCTAGATGATTTATTCAATGCTGAGAGTGAGGTGTTGAAGTCCCCAACTATTGCTATAGTGGGGTCTATCTGTCTCTTTGGATCTAATAATATTTGTTTTATATATCTAGGTACACCAGTGTAAGTTGCATCTGTATTTAAAATTGTTATATTCTCTTGCTAATGTAATCCCTTTATTATTACATAGTGTCTCTCTTTATAGCTATTGGCTTAAATTCTGTTTTGCCTAATCTACTCCTGCTCAGTTTTTCCATTAGCATAGAATATCTTTTCTTTTCTTTTTTTTTTTTTGAGATGGAGTCTTGCTCTGAAACCTAGCTGTAGAGCAGTGTGTGATCTTAGCTTCCAAAGTGCTGAGGTAACGCATGAACCACAGCACCTGGCTGGAATATCTTTTTGTAATCCCTTCACTTTAAGCCTATGAGTGTGTTTACAAGTGAGGTAAGTTTCCTACAGACTGCATATAGTTGGGTCTTTAAAAAACAATCCATTTTGCCAGTTTATATGTTTAAATTGGAGAATGTAGTCCATTTACATTCAGGGCTATTATTGACAGGCAAAGACTTACTTTTGGCATTTTTAATTGTTTTCTGGTTGTTTTTTATATCCTTTTTTTTTCTTGCTTACCTCTTATTTATTTTTGTGATTGGGTAGTTTTCTGCAGTGATAAAATTTGATTCCTTTCTTTTTCTCTTTTGTATATCACCTCGACCAGTAAGTTTTATCATTTCATGCTTTGATAATGGCAATTGTTATTTTTTCATTTCAGATGTAAGACTCATTTGAGCGCTTTTAAAGTCCAGTCTAAGGGTGATGAATTCTCTTAGTTTTTACTTATCTTTGATCTGTGAAAGATTTTATTTCTTCTACATTTCTGAAAGATAGCTTTTCTGGGTATCATGATCTTGGCTGGCAATGTTTTTGTTTTATCTTTCAATGCTTTGACTATATCATGCCATACTTTCCTGGCAAATAAGCTTTCTGCTGAAAAATCCAGTTAGTCTAATTGAGATTCCCTTATATGTGACTTGATGTTTTTCTGTTGGTGATTTTAGAATTCTTTATTTGTTCTTGACTTATGATAGTTTGACTTTAATATGCCTTGGAGAGGATCTGTTTGGCTTTAATCTATTTGGTGTCTTTGAGCTTCCTCGACATGGATGTTCATTTATCTTCCAAGACTTGGGAAGTTTACAACTATTATTTCCTTAAGTATGTTTTCTATACGCTTTTCCTTCTGGATTACCCATAATGCAAACATTTGCTTGATAGCCCTAATGGTGTCCCATAAATCCTATAGATTTTTTTCATCATTTTTTTTAATTTGTTTTTGTCTGTCTGTATTATTTCAGAAGACCTGTCTTCAACTTCAGAAATTCTTTCTCTCAAAGCCCTTTCCTACACCAGCATTCTCAAAGTCTCTATGATTTTTCAAGCCTAGTGTATGAACTAAAATTAAGATCTTTGCTGAATTTTTTAAAATAACCCAGCAGAAAACAAGTACTGTTCCAGTCCACTAATAATCTCCCTGTAATCTGTTCAACTTTGTAAGTTGGTCAAATCTAGCAAAGAGATTGGCCAACTGGAAAAATTTGATTTTCAAATATACCTCTAAGTATTCTTATGAAAAGATGTGACAAAGAGATAATGCAATTCTTGGAGAAAGTTATATTTATTTATAAAGACCTTTGGAGGAAGGGTCAGCTAAGGCATGAGGAGGCACTCTAAAGAAGAAGCTGGAAAACTACCTCCTAAATAACTGGCTAACCCCATCCTTGAGGATTCAAGCAACCATCTTAAGCCTCATCCTACTTGTGGCAGATACTGTACAAATGAGTAGATTAGTGGGTTAGCTTGTCATGCTACCTTACAACTATAATGGAGAGGTGACATCTGTATGCTGGGGCTGAAAGATGTGTCCTATATTTGGATGCTCAGATGAAACTGTCTGGGTTAATGTCACCTTTTAGAAGATGCATTAAAGGGAATGACATACCTTTTGAAAGGGATGCCTTCTTGAGTATAGAAAATGCAACCAAGACTGACAGTGGATTGTACTGCTATTTTGTGCACAGAGGGTGGTTCAGTGACATGAAAGTCACCCTATCATTGGAGATTAAACCATCCAGGAACACAAGTATTCCCATGTCGTCTAGAGTCTACCTCTGCTCCTCCAATGCCATCACCCATGATCCAGCGACTTCACCTTCTCCAACTCAGCCAGCAGAAACTCAGATTACAACATTGCAGGAAACAAGGACACAACCCACCAACTCTTACACAACAGAAGGGAATGGCACCATGACACAATCTTTGGTTGGTCTTTGACATAACAAACTCATGTCCCCACCACAGGCGGCTACCACCTCTAAGGGAATCTCTGTGGGAATCTGTATTTCTGCTTTGGTGTTTCTCACTTTTTTGGATGTCAGCATTACCATAAAGTATTTCTGTGTCATATGCAAGATGCTGTACCTGCATATGGTTTTGTTGAGTGACCGTCTATATTCATCTGTTCTTACACTGCTATAAAGAACTGCCCAAGACTGGGTAATTTATGAAGGAAAGAGGTTTAATTGACTCAGAGTTCTGCAGGACTGGGGAGTATTCAGAAAACTTACAATCATGGCAGAAGGAAACAAACACATCCGTCTTCACATGGCAGTAGGCAGGAGAAGAATGAGAGCTGAGCAAGCAGAGGAGGCCCTTATAAAACCATCAGATCTCGTGAGCACTTACTATTATGAAAATAGCATGGGGGAAACTGCCTCTGTGATTCAATTAACTCCTACCAGGTCCCTCCCAGGATACATGGGGATTATGGGAACTGCAATTCAAGATGAGATTTGGGTGGTTATACAGCCAAACCATATCACCTTCTAATTGGAGCTTTGCCATGTGCAGGGGAAAGACAAGTGCAAGCAGCAGACAGTATATACATTATTGAGGTTAATCTTTATGTCGTGGAATAAAGTGGTGCCCATGACTGCAGAAAACGGTGACCAGATACTACCGTGTCAGACATATTTTAAACTCCAGGATTTTTTTTCTGTTTTAGTTTCATCTAGCATTTCAACATGTCAGTAATATTGAGTAGAGTGAGTCTCTAGCTCTGAATTCTGTAGAGCCAGCTTCATTGTTAATATAGTTCTCATTTTTTATACTAAAATGGACTCAATCTTTCTGATCATTGCAGAGTTCCCTCTCAAACATGAACACTTTAGAATTGCATGTTCTCTTTAGACTCCATAAATCCTGTGTCCATCAAAGAGAATAATCACTGAAAACATAGGAAATGAACTTCTATCTTGGCCACCAAAGCTGTCCAGAAGAAAGAAATAGGACTTAAAACTCAAATCTAATTTGAAACTTCATTTGGAAGAAATTCGTGGTTGTTTCTTATTTCTATATTATAACTCCAAATGTTACATTTCTTAGTTTCCCCCAAGGGTGCCCAATGAACCCAGGCTTTTATTTCATCCATGGAAATAAAATAGGAGTGAGTCTAATTTGGGTGTAACAGGTATATCTGTTTCTCATGGCTCTGGAAATATGATGCTTTCAGTACTTGATCCCGGGATCAGTGTAGCTATTTTGCCAGTCAAAAGAAGCTGAGTATTTTACCAGTCAAAAGAAGTGAATATGGACCAAGCAGACACTAGGAGGAGAAAATCATTTGCTATGTGATTAAACACTTTTATGCTGCTTCTATTACATTTGTGCCACAATGCTAGGCACTATGGTAAATAACCATCAGGTTCTCAGAACTTATTTTTACAAGGCAGGGCAGAAATGAAAGGGAAAAGAGGAAAGAGTAGGAAAAAAGCCTTTCTACCTTAGAAAAGTTACATTGCAAGTATTATAGTGTTTGAAACTGTCACTAGTTTCAGCCCAAATTCTAAACTTATAAATGCCTTCATATCACTTATATATTTAAAATTGTTTCAGAAAGTTGAAGGATCTTTTTCATATCTAGTCAATTACAGTGTTTTTTTTTTGTAATACAATTGTGAAGCTTATTGTAAACATACCTTCAGTTACCAGCATAATTGTTTAGAAATATAGATTTGCAAGGGCTAGATTTGTCAGAAGAGAACCATTTCTACATGAAGAGTAAAGGTTGAGTATTACTTTCTATTTCAATTTGAGTAAACCCAGAACAATTTATGCTTGGTGTTTAGAGGTACTCCAACCATAATGGTCTAGGAGGACAGGATGCTCGCTTTCAAAGGCAACATTTTCAACACTGTTCTGCAGAGGTCTAACTAAGAAAGTAATAGATCCTTTGAATGAAGGTCCTATGGGAAGTAAAATTTTGATTCATGGTATTTCAGATTTTCTAAATGAGACCAGCCTAATCTAGCCTAAATATTTTTTTTCATACTACAGTGTTTGTTTGTTTTTTAAATTTGATGCAGCATGCATAAACCTGGGAATTTGAAATTAAAGCTCATATTTGTAGCTTCTCTGAAAAGACATGGGCAGATTAGACTGCATTCCTGTGTGGTCAGGGCCCCACTAGATGGGGCCACATTCTCTAGCCCCCAAGTCCTCGTCTTTCCTGCCTCCTCACTTTTGTTACCTGCCTGGTACCTGTAGGGCTTTGAGTTTATGGCACCTGCCCTATTCTCCATACTCTTCCTGGAGAGTTATTATATGTGGTAAAGGCTCTGGGAATATGGTTAGCTTTGTTTAACAAGCATTGCCAAAACTTGCATGAACACATGAGCACAGTGACTAGTAGCATTCTGTGAAACAGAATATATAGGGACTTAGAATAGTAAACAGAATTAAGAATAGGATGTGAGTTCTGATCCTAACTCTTAGCAGTAACACCATATGACATTAGGGCACATTATTCTTTATGTCTAAATCTTTTTTATCTGTTAGATGTAATCATTTCCATACCAGCAATGTCATATGATGATAACTCCAATAAACTGTTACTTGAAAAAATACACTACAGATTCTGAAGCAGTTTGGAGAATTTATTTTAAAATACTATACGAACGCAAAGTGTTTCCTCAGAAAATTTCTTAGTAATAGCAGACCCAGCATTAGTGCTCAGTAAATAATTTCAGTGGTGTTATATTCACAAGGCTCTTGGGTATCTCTTTTTTAAATAGTTTATTTTTCAAAAAGTTGATGAGAAATTTTGCTCTGCTCTTATACTATAAAAAGTTGTCAGTAACTGAGAGAGAGAATAGATGAGAAGGGAGAAAATGGTGGAATCTAGTTACTTAATATGGATTTTTCCTAAACATACATTAATCTTATAGATTGCATTGAGTTTTGTTTTTTATTTTTGATTCTTTGAGAAGGAGTTGATATTCTATTATCTACAATCTGTCTTGGAACATTGGGACATTGGTGTAATTAAGACTGTATATTTAAACTTAAAATTTTTTTCATATCTTTAAGAAGTGGCAGAACCCATTGTTCACTTATGTCTATAAAGATTAAATAATTTTGCAAGTACATGAAAGTGTGAGGAACTCAGCGATTGTCTAGGTTCATTTGTATGTGCACTCATCACTAACATTTTTTGTTTTTTTCATCTGAAAAAAAAAATCTTCTGCTTGCTTAGTCTGTTATTGAAGCTTTCAATTGTATTTTTTTATTTTGTTTCTTGAATTCTTCAGCTGTAGAATCTCTATTTGGTTCTTTTTTATATCTCTCTCTTTAATTTCTCATTTCTGGTTTCATTGATTTGTTAATCTGTACTAAGTTTTCTTAAGATTTTTTTTTAATTATTTCTCTGGCATTTTTTATCTTTCCTTATATTTGGGTTCCACTACTAGAGAATTATTGTGTTCCTTTGGAGGTGTCATGTTTCCTTGCTTTTTCATGTTTGAGGTGTCCCTGCATTGGTTTCTGTGTACTTGGTGGAAAAATCATACCATCCAATTTTATGGAGTAGGTTTCATAAAGAAAGGTTTATTCATATGAATGGGTTTTGGGATATTAGTTGGGTGAGGTGCATTGGCTGTGGTCCTAGGTGGATGCAGTAGTGTAGTATCCACATAGTTTCTTCTGATGCAGTCCATATAATGGCATTTGTGAGTGTTTCAGTGGCCCAGGCTGAGAGAGTTTCCGGACAGTGGTGGTGCAGCTTTGGCTAAGGGTGTCCTCACTGTGCCATTTCTCAGGTTGGAGGTGCATGCCTGTATATAATGGTTTAGCCACCTTGGAGCTGGCATTGGGGTTATGGGGAGTTACTCTGACTGGGAGTTTATACACAGAGTTGCTTGACCACCTGGGGGTGTGACCGCCAAGAGCTGCCCATAGCACTGTTTCTCAAGGCCTGGGATGGCGGTGCAAGGCTGTTGAGCTGACCTGGGGCATGTCATCCAGGGCTGTTCTGGGGGGTGCTGCTTCTCAAGCCTGGGATGTAGGTACACAGCCACTTGGCTGGCTTGGAGGCTTGTATACTGGGAAGGTCCCCAGAGCTATTTCTCAGGCCTGTGTCATGGGCCAACAGCTGCTCAGCCAGCTTGGGTGATTGCCCTCCAGAAGCAGCCTGCAGGGTTCTTTCTCAGACTGTGATTGAGTGCATTGGGCCTTTGAGTGGCTCAGGGTGTAGGGCACCACAGGTCTGTCTGTACTTCCTTGGATGCAGGCGTGTAGTACTTCACCCAGCCCCAGAGCATGTCATTTGCTTGGAGGCTTCACAGACTATCCCCCTCAGGAGAGGGCACGCAGCAGTTTGGCCAGTTCAAGGGTAGGTGTACACTAGACAGGATTGTCAAACGGTTTTTGTGTCTGGAAGTTAGTTGGTTTCTCTACTATAGGACCAGAGTGACAGCCAATCCTGGACCCAGGCTCCATGCAGCTTAGGTTGTGGCAGTCAGCCACCCATTTGGGCTTGGGAATGAAGATAGAGCCCCAGTGGTGTAGAGGTACAGTGTTAGTGACCTACAGAGCAGGGTACACTCCTGATGTTACTCTGGTCTTAAGATGGCTCTGTGCTGTAGAAACTTGATGTACAAGGCTAGGTGGGAGTGGGGAGTGCACACTATGTGGATTCCTGGAAGCTCTCCAAACTGGGCTCACTGCTTGTGAAGACTATGAGATTCTCTTGTAGAAAGGATGTAGGTGTTTGTGGTAGCAATGGGGGCTGGTAGTGTTCTTCTGCTTGCCTTTTCCCTGTAACAGGAAGTTTCCACCGATTTGGGGCAGATTCTCATCTAATCAGAGAAGATAGAGCTACAGAGGCTAGGTGTCTCCAAGCTGCTCACCTGGACTTCTAGTCTCCACAGGTGCATCTCCATCCACTTCCATGCTGTGCTCAAATGCTCTCCCTTCAACATTCCAATCAAATCTCGTCTGTTTATTCATTGCCTTGTCTCTTTCTTGTATGGGGGGACTAGCATCAGGCATCTGTAGTCAGTGTTCTTGCTGATGTCACTTTGTTTTATTTTTCTGGATATTTCTGATCTGCAGATGATAAAGTTTGTTGGTACAGAACCTGCAGTTATAAAAGGCCAACTGTACACTTCTTATACTCTTGTAAGAACAGGCCATTTTTGTTTTGGTTTTTTTTTTTTTTTTAATACAGATTTGCATATGGTTTTACTGTTTGAAGTTATCCCTTGGCTTTTTTGCCTCAAACATACTTATAATGCATAGCCTATAATATCCAGTTTTGGATCTCTCAAAACAACAAACTTTTTTTAAAATATTAGAGTAAAATGGTGTTCTCACCTTTTCTCTCTGGAATACACTCAAAAGCAACAAATAGAATGAGAAAGAGAAACAAAACTATCTTTGACAATATCAAATCTTAAACTATACATATTACAAAGTATAATGACGGTAAAAGAGGGATTCTGAAAGATACGAAGAGGACATGCTCACAGTTACAGATCTCAGACAAAATCAACAGAACATAGTTATCTAAAGTGTCGTATCCTGAAGAAGAAAATCAACAATCCCTAGTTTGAAACAAACACAACTGATGACCAGCATGGTGCTTCCCAATTTGACACAAAAAAAAAAAAAAAAGAAAAAGAAAATGGAGCACCCAAGAAATCACACTGAAGAAACCTGTTTTTAGGAAGCAAAATAGGAAAGGTTATGAGTTCTGAGTTATCTTACAACTGCTGCTCTTCGGATGGTAGACGAGAGAACTAAAGGCTATAATTGAACACACACAATTTTGTGAGATGAGAGTTTTTGCTGCCTTGAAGTTCAGGCCTGGATTTAGTCCAATATATTCTTCTGCAAAAGTTTTCTCCAGCAGGAGCTCATTTGATTCAAAAAATATGGCAAACTTAAAAAGGATGGGGAGTGTGTCATCTGCATGGGTTCCGTACAAAAGGGGAGAGCTTTTCTGGAAGGCTTCACAAGAAATTGAATGAGACAAAGCCTTGCTTTCCACTACCCTTCATACTTTTTTAAATTCAAAAGAAACTTAGTGCAATAATAAAAACAATAGAGACTTTGAAAATAATAATAAATTCATTTAAACATTTGCAAATAAATATGAGTACAAGTCCTTTCAGATTTTTACTCATTTTATCCAGCCTTTCATTTATTCTGACCACATCTAATTGACAGCAATTTCTTTAGGTGACTCTCCTTTATCAGATCTTTCACAAAGGCATTCAATATGTAGAATCAATTTTTCCTGTTGCTTTCATATTTCATTTGTTATGTAATATTTATTTATATGATAGATTGAGTATTCCTTATCTAAAATGCTTGGGACCAGAGTGTTTCAGATTTCAGATTTTTAAAAAATATTTACCTTATATACTTATAAGTTGAGCATCCCTAATCTGAAAAATCCAAAATCTGAAATGCTCCAATGAGCATTTCCTTTGAATGTCATGTTCACACTCAAAAAGTTTCAGGTTTGGGGGCATTTCAGGTTTTGGATTAGGTATATTCAATCTGTATGTTATGGCAATAATGTAACTGGCATAGCAAGTTTAGAAATAAATACAATTGACCCTGTAACATAAAGCTTACCTAGAGGAGCATAAACACAATTGAACTAGAGAGAGGCCTGCTAAATACAGGAGTTCAACATACTGTAGGTATTTGTTTTAGGGGAAAAAAAAAGTAATGCTCTTTAATGGATTTGTTAAGTGAATGTTAAAAGAAACTACCTTAAGTATGGACATATGCTATTTTGTTTCTGTTGCATTTGAATTTTGCTCAACGATGTCTTGTTCTAGATACAGTGTTGTAAAATTTAATTTTAATCAAAAAATGTTTGAGCTCCTCCTGTGTTCCCTAAGCGTAATAACAAATGAAAGTAAATACTTTCCTTTTTAGTTGTTGAAATTAAACAATATTAATAGGATGTTACTGGTGGTTTTAATTATGATGTGCTGCATACCCTGTATCAGTATAAAAGTTTTAAGTAATTTAGAGTTATCTTGACTTCCGTAGAGAGAGCTCTTCAGACACCTAAAGCTGTTTTAAATTGATGTCATGTTTATTTTACTTTAGGATATGTTTGACAAGGAAAACTATTTTTGAACTATTGTTAAATTTGTTGTTTTTTTATCTTGAAGCTGCCAGAAAAAATTATACTGAACTACTATGAGAAGTATAAGCCTCGAATGAATGAGCTGGAAGCTTTTAATATGGTAAATCTCAGAGTTAAGCATATTAAATTGGATATGTTGCTAGACTTGAATAGGGTCCTATTAAATTTTATTATGGGCCAAGCAATCTATGTTGTTTTTCCCTTACTGTAGAAAAACTGTTTGGGATCATTTCCTATTTCAGGATTATATTAGGTATCAGTAATGTAATAAAGAGAACACATGGTAGATTTCTCTTAAAAAAGTATTATAAATGTACAAAAAGTTTCAGAGTCCTTTGAACACATATTGGTCCCAATGCAGTTATTTCACAAGCATTCCTTTTAATGAATTTCGTTCTTAGTACCCCTTTAAAAGCTTTCTATCACATCTGATTGCTTGGAGTCTACCTCACAGTCACCTAAAGGGCATTCTTTTTCTATTATTAAAGAAAACCTTTTGATCTCTGAAATATTCATTTTTTGAAGATGTACATGGATACTGGAGATTGAGTCTATATAAACTTATGTAGATACCTTTTCTTAAACTTAAGTGTTAAGGAAGTAAGCAAGTCTTTTTTTTTTTTAAGTACCTCCAACCTACCTATCTAATTTTTATTTTAGTTGAAAGTTGTTCTGGCTCCTTGTATAGAGACTTTGATTCTTCTGGATCGACTTTGTTACCTGAAAGAGCAGGTAAATTATGTTATTTTAAAATGCATAATAAATATTTTACTCAATACAGTAATATAGATCCACTTATATTTAGGATAAGATTCTTTCACATAAAACTAGTAAGAAAATTTTTCTCATTATATTTTCATACTTTAAATATTCATTTCATCTCTTTTTAAACATATACACATATGTACAACAGATGTTTTCAGCAAAGCTGCTGTAATAAAGTTTACATTCTTTTAATTGTATGGTAATTACTATACATAGGCAGTGAACATGAACCACTATATATGAAATACTGTATAGCTGAAATTAATAAAGGCCAGACATAAAAGTTATTGTATATACATTTCATTTTGTAAGAATTTGTCTTTTAATTCACTTTAGAGTGTTGGCCATTTGGATTCCACAGAATAGAAACTTCTAATCAAGGAAGATTCTTTCTGAATTTTTTTTCACAATTTTATTTATCTATGTTGAATGACAGAAATACTGTCTTTTGGGTTGTCTTTAAGGAAAATATTTTTTGCAGATTCTACTCTGAGCTATGGGTAAAATAAAGCTTGATGAACTGTTTAAATTAAACCCATTCATGGACTCACCGAATATTTCCACTATCAACTCTTTAACAATTTTATTTTGTCATACAGGGGCTTTACTTTCTTCTTTTCAACAAATGCTAATTGGAACAAATGGATATTTTAAAATGTTTGCTTTGTTCTAATTTGTATTTTTTTGGAGAAAGGCAGTTTTCAAATATGTAAATAATGATATACTTTCCTAAGCTGCCAGCTAACTTTAAATCACTGGAAAGCTTTAGTTCCTAAGTTAGTGGGTCATAAAATCAGTACCCATTTTACTAGATTCTCACATCTCTTTTCAAAGCAATCTCCATTGACCTATGTATAAGAGGTAAGCAAAACAGTATACACAAAGATTAATAGATTGTAATGAAATTGTAGAAATTATATAAATGCTATTTTTAATATTTCAATTAATATTTTATAAAATAATGCACATTTATGTTAGAAAATTTGAAATACAGGGTATATAATAAAATTAAGAGTAGTCATAATATTACCTTTTATTTAATAGCTTCAATTATTATATTTTTAGTATACTTTCTATGGAATCTCTCAAATATATATGTGTTATGTATATAGTTATGTGTGCACATTATTTGTACTTTGATTAAAATTAGAATCAATGTATAAATGCAGTTTTACATCTAATTCATTTTATATATTTTATTCAGAATTTCCCACCATATTAAATGTACTATAGAAAGTGAATAATATGTCATCACAAAATAATTTATTTAACTAATACCCATTTGTGATTGGCCACTTCTAGTTTTTCACAACCATAGCAAACAATAAACTCATAATTCGCCCTCTACATACATCCTTGTTTCTTCAGCATAAATTTTCTTGAAAGTGTAATTGTGAATGTTAATTTTGTTTAACAAAGATTAAGAATTTTCTGTGATACAGTTTGTTTTTATGTATTTTTAAATATTACAATACATAATCTGACTCATCTCTCATATTTTTCTTTAACAAATGGTTGTATATCTAAATCACTTATCAATTTGCAGGAAGATATTGCGTGGTCTGCTCTTGTGAAGTTGTTTGATCCTGTGAAATCTCCCAGATGTTATGCTGTTATTGCTCTGAAGAAACAGAAATGATTTCCATTGAAGCAAATTATGAGATATATTTCTCTATGAGACCTGTTACTGAGATTGCTTTTCTAAACATTTATTTCCTGTTTTATAAAAATTTTTAAATGATTGCTCTATATTTTAAGTAATAAAATAATGGCTAACAACTGAAGGTTAAAAATCCACTTTTCCATTGTCAAAGCATATATTAATAAAATAAGAACCCATGACAACAATATAAAAGGGTTGATCTACATTCCTGAGTTAGTACATCAGTAGAAGATTGTAATCTGCATCTTAATTCCTGTTCAATATTTAAGACCCTCTATATTTGCTACAAATCACATTTTGATTTATTTAATTTAGCACAGATAAGAGGTAAAGATAGTTGGTGCTGAAGATCATTCGCAGTTTCATCCACATTTTGGAAGTATTTTTCTTTTACCAAGAGGAAAAAAAATCTGCATTTAAAGGGAAGAAATCCCCACGAACCAGGTCAGAAACTTAAAAGTGCCTCATTTAAAGCACATTTTACACTGGGTTTTAATATAAGTACATGGGATAATTCCCCTAAAGAAAGTTGTATCTTATAAGAAGATATTCTCCTAATGGATTCTTTAGGCAATTTATCTTACTAAAAGAAAGTGATGGGTTGACACTTAGTGGAATTACTATATAGTCTGTAAAAAGCCAATCTGAGTAAACCAAGAGTCAATGGAATGAGGCCAACACCCTGCCCATTGTGAAACAAGTCCTTTTTATTAGCAGAAAACTTGAGGATTCTAATGCATACCAAAAAGATGAACAGCTGGAATAAAGCTTCCTTGATCCTCAACTAGAGAGATTTTATAAAAATTTTCCAAAGCAAAAAAAAAAAACAAAACTGCTTTCTTGAATATTGGCATCTATCCAACAAATAATAATTATATGTCTGTAGTATAATATTGAGTTTACAGCCTATATATATGTGTGTGTGTGTGTGTGTGTGTGTGTGTGTCTGTATTTATATATATGTATATGCATACGGATAAATAGTCTTTGTACAGATAGTATAATACTTGGAAAATAAGCCATTTTTAAGCTTTTTTTTCCTACACTATTTTTCACATATCTAGAAGTGGAGAGTAGAGTATAAGCAATTCCCATGTACTCATCACAGAGTGCAATATAATTATCAACACTTTACCAGTTTTGTTCATCTATACCCACATAAACATGTACATGCACACCCTACCCATACATACCCTAGCTGGAGAACTTCAAAGCAAATTCCATGAAGTTTGTTACTTCTAACAGTTAAGGGTTTTGTTTTGTTTGTTTGTTTTTTTATAACATCTATAATGTCTCATTCATATATCTATGGCTGAAAAAGTCTTTATATCAGTTTCATCAATTCAGAATCTAAACAAATTTAACGCATTTGCATTTGCTTGATATGTCTCTTAGGTTGTTTTAAATATATAATGATTTCCCCTCCATTTAAAAAATTTCACATCATTTTTATTTTTTTAAGAAACCAGGCAATTTTTTTCTATAAAATATAGATACATTCTATAGAATAAATTTCTAGATTTACCTGATTATACCTTTAGAGAGCCATTTAATACAACTTCCCAAATATTTCCTAAAAGTTGTTAGATCTAGAAACTTAAGAGAGTCAAGTTGTTATTATGTGTTTGTTTTTGTCTTTTGGCAAAAATACTTCATAGTGATATGTACTTTCTGTTACATCATATCAGAAGACACATCTTGTTTGGCTGTTCCATGTTTAGTGATACTGAGATTGATCAGCAGCTTCAGTTGTTTTGAGTCTTATTTATTCAATATAAAGTTTTCTCATTAACCTTCCTTTGAATGGTTTTAGCAGCCCTTGGGAATGATAGAAAACAGGAAGAAAGAAAACCAGACTGTGATTTCATTCGTCATATTCATACTGACTGCTTAAGAATCCTCCTCAGTTTCAATTTGTCAGTAGCATTCTTTTTCCTAAATAGCTTTCTTGTTTCAGCATGCTGTGATTTTCTCTTATTGTTGACTAAATAGCTATTTCAGAAGGAGCAGAAAACCTTTTCAGCCAACTTTTTTCTTTTATAATTTTACTTTCCATGTAAAAATTTAAAATTCTTTCCTTGTACCCAAATACTTTTATAATATTTATTTCTCATTATAATAAAGAAAAATATTTTATATCTGTAAAACACCTTTTAGCATAGAGAAGTTATAACAGGCTGGGCATGGTGGCTCATGCCTGTAATCTTAGCACTTTGGGAGGCTGAGGTGTACAGATCAGCCAAGGTCAGGATTTCCAAACCAGCCTGGCCATCATGGTGAAACCCTGTCTCTACTAAGAATACAGAATTAACTAGGCATGCTGGCACATTCCTGTAATCACTTGAACCCAGGAGGCAGAGGTTGCCGTGAGCCAAGATTGCATCATTGCATTCCAGCCTGGGCAACAAGAGCAAAATTCTGTCTCAAGGGAAAAAAAAAAAGTAAAT